TGTGTGTGTGTGTGTGTGTGTCTGTGTCTGTGTGTCTGTGAATGTGTGAGTGTGGAACTCTGTGTTTCAGCTCCACACTTCGTGCGATGCGCTCATTTTCCCCTCCGGGCACAACAACAACAAATAATGCAACTGCACCAATACATAAATGCATGTGTAGCTGGTCATCTAATGCATCTCCGTGTCGTTAATCAACAGGAGTCTTTGGCATTCCCTCACTAGCCGACACGTGGATTACTTAAATGTTGGAAAAGGAGGATAAAGGTGAGTCAACCACAGAGGAAAGAAGCCAATGAAAGTCCACCAAAGGATAATTGTGTACTGTTGTATGCTTTTAATGGGCCAGCGTAATCACTTTTGTCCAATAACTAGTGTTGTTGTTTTCAGGAAATGTACAAAGGCCCTCATGATGTTTTCATTAACACACTTTACTTAACCTTGTTATTAAAAGAAAAGTGGGGAAAATAAGAAAGTAATGGATGGAAAGCTCCGTTGTTCTGTTCTGTAATGTTCCTTTTACATATTGTCTTGAAAAAAGAAAGCTGTAATTTCAAGTCATTCTTTCTAACCCTTAAAACAAAGTTGTTGTGAGCACTAAAGGAGCTTTCACATCGGATGTGGAAAGTTCTTGCTAATGTCTTGCGCTTAAAACATTTAACTATTATTCCATCATTTATTTTAATCCATGATGTCGTGTTTCAGCAGCAACACACTACATCTACAAACAAACGAAGGCTTCAAAGAACTGAGCGTCTGTAACTTCACTCCAGTATTAGTTGATCTCGCTGATTGAAACACATTTAACAGCGCGGCTTCTGGGGTTTGCAATGAATTTATTCAGAATCCATTGACATGAAATACAATCTGTGCAATACAATCATTGGTTCTACGTTTTTTGTCATTGATGACGGACCACGCGGTGTCATATTATCTCTTTTAGCTCCGTCTTTGGTGTCCACCAACTCCTTACTGTTAAACTCCGCCGTGTTCACTGTGAGGCTGAAAACCCAAATATGCTGAAAGATGCTAAAACACCGCGAAACAGTGCAGAGAGTTGCAGAGTTGGCCGATAGTCATCTGTGGGTTTCTCACTCCAAGCGACTCACATTACACAGTGATTTGATTTACTGTTTTCCTTTCGGCCGCTTCAATGTCTTGTTATGGTTAAAAAAACAAGATTTCCTTTGTCGACGATGTTGAGGAGATTAAATATGACTTCAATGGAGAGGGTGACTTCCTTATTTCTCTTGTTGAAGCGCTGTTAGGCAATCAAAAGGAAAGTGTGTGAAGGGGCAGGGGGAGGTGTTCCTCCTTTTTTAGGAAATGACTCTAAATCTGATTAACAACATTCCTTGTTTGTCGCTAATGCCACTTTCTGGCTGCCGAACAGTCAGCTGTCTCTGCTGTTCCCAGGAAGTCTGTGTGCGTGCCTTCACGAATTTCAATAGGTTTTCATACTTTCACTGGGACCACACACGCTCATATCAAAGGGAACAATTCAATATGTGTGGGAGGCCGATCTGCTGAGCCAGTCGGAGAGAGGAAACGTAGAAAGACGTAGAAGGTCTTCTTACACTACGGCACATTTACAGAAAGTCAGTTGACATTTGTATGAAAGCAAACGCACAAACCACAGCTGTGAGGAGGATGTGCGGGGGGGGGGGGGGGGGGGGGGGGGGGGGAACGCTGGGGGAAGTAGCGGTGATGGAAACCACACAGCTCGACGGTGACTGACCATTACACTGATTACAAAGACCCGAAATTGAGCGTGAAACGCGTTCGCTGATTATGTTGTCAAAGAGACATGTGCGAGCAATTTGATTGGTCGCTGGCCGGCGAGCAGCTAGATGAAAAGTGAGGGGATAACCAAAGTCAGAGGGCTTGATGGGAAAGAACTGACACAGTGGGATGTGAATAGTCAAGTCTTGCCAACAGTCAGATTGTCATATATGTTTCTCATTGATGGAGTGGTATTTAATGTTAAACTATAGAAATGTATAAACTTTAGGATTAGAATAGAATTCCATGTTGGCGATCCACAGACGGGAACGACGGGCAGGTGAAGGACAGTGGAGGGGGGGGTCCAGAGAAATGTTCATGAATTTAAAATATATTTAGCCTCTGATGGTGTTATGTTCCTCGTGTTGTTTAGTTGACTATGATGAATAATCGCCATTGAAATGAGGAGCCTTGAATCAGATCGTTGAATACTAACATAGTCTGCTCACCTTCAGATTTTAAATATAAATCGCAAAATGTACTAAATTTGCTGTAGACATTCTAAATCCATAGATTTGTTACCTAAAGCCTGCTCTAGTTCCCTGTCACGCATCTCAGACTGCGATACCGTGCAGAAGCGTGGTGCCGCCAGCCGCCATCTGTGTCTCCAAAAGTAGTGTCACTATGATAAAGACGGCCTGTGGGCGGGTTTTCGTCCAGCGCGGCTCACGTGGCCGCTCCGCCTGAGAGGGAGGAGTGAGCTGAGGGGTATTCGGTTGGTGGAGAGCTTCAACCACACCGCTAGATGTTCCCCAAGCCAACACACTGTCCCTTTAAGCCAAATTTATGCACAGGATTTGTCACACAATCCCGAGAGGATGAATCTATTCAAAAAGCAACCTTCCAGTTCGAGGCAGAGAAAAAAAATCAAGCATATGTTTGTAGTTGTGATACTCAAAATCACACCATCAAACAACAAAGAACCCACGACCACAAGCTTCATCACCAATAACAATTTTTTTTCTTCCTTTAAGGGCTTAATCAGAAACTGCTGCTGAACAGAAAGTCGGGACAAAGTTAGTTGTGAAAGGTTTGTATTTCCCGACTCCTAACAGAATGACGGTAATCCCCAAACTGTGACCTTATCGCTTTGCCAAGAAGGTTTTTCCCCATGAAGACTAAATGGGGAAATGAGCACTGCACATCTGCGTGATTACGGACCACCGCTCTTCTTCTATAAACAGTCGCTCACCATTTCATCTGGACTATTTCGTACAGGTAACACGTTCACTATGAATCGCCATCATTCCACTTAATGAGATAAACACCTCTTGTGAATATAAGATCGCAAATTTGCTTCGTCGAGCGTCCATAAGCCAAAAAATATTAATAATAATAATAATGATAATAACTGGATAGTTTTTACTTGTATCTCAAATGAATAATATGCAATACATCTTATTAATTATTCTGCTCATTGTTGTTCTAAACAATCTCGTAACCTGCTTCATCTTCACTTCCCGATTTCTTTATTTACCAAAACACTATAAATATCATATTCACATCATATACTAATACAACGTGAACTCTGTGCTCTGTAATTTTTCTTTAAAGTGTCAGAGAAAACACCAGTTAAGTGAGGTTCTCCAGTTGAGGAATAGCATTATATTGATCAGTGCTGTTTTGCAATTTTCTTTCCAAAAGGAAAAAGTCTAAATATGTACGACACATCATGACCACAATAGACATTTTTTCACCTTTTAAATAGCAAAATAACTGTTGAAAATCAGTTCCATTCATTTGAGCACTGTCAGCGTGATGAAGTCATCTGATCCACATGAAACAATCGCACACGCAGGGACCTGCGCCCACACACTCCGTGCATTAAAACACACACATGCAGAGCAGCCACACCTGCACTGTGATCCGCCTCACACCAATAAAAAGGCTTTCCCGCTCTTGAACCGGGGCTGTACTTTCCCAGGCTGAAGGTATTTACTCCGCGTCGCCGCTCAGTCCTGCTTATGTTTGTGATTTTATAGAGTTTTATGAGTCTTCACTGATGCCATCACCAAAGTATGCCAACGGGTTGACTTGATGGGGGGGGGTTAGGGACAGAAGGGTACGAGGGGACGCCGTCCTCATTTATTGGTGCCTAATTCCTGGTCACATCCCCCTTTGGGAGATGGATTTCTTAAAGTTAACACCACTTTGCCTGCGTTCCTCCCACGAGGCTTGTTAGCGAGATCATTCCCGGAGCTCGGATCAAAAAAATATAAAAGATCTCCAATTTCATGTGAACTTGAATCCTTTTAGACTTTAAAAAAAGCATCATTTAGCAAGACGTTTTTTAGTGAGAAGATAGTGAAATCTTCTTCTGTCTGCAGAGCGTTATTAGCTTTGAATGAAACCACATAATTCCGACTGTGACCTGGTCTTTGCTGTCACGGTAGAGACTGGGTTCCACTACCACCACAGGAAAATGATCCCCATCCTTCATCACACACCCTCGTCATCTGAGCGGTGCTGGCCTGCTTCCCTAAAGTTACTCTCCTCCGGCACAGTTGCCATGGAGCCCCGAGGCAAACGAGGAGGAGGCCACGCGGGGAAGTTAGTTCTGATATCGGTGATGAAGGTGATGCTCCGAGAGTTTGATTTTACGGCGATAACACTGAGGTAGAGATGCTACGATTGGTCACCTAAATGTTTTGGTCTCTTAAGTTTCAGCTTGTGATCAGAGATCCATATCTTTAAAAACAGCGTGTTGTCATGGCTTGCACTCGATTTGGAGGACTTTAAACACAGATATCAGGATGGTAATTTCTTCTCACAGGCATCAAAAGCCAAAACGTATTTTTCTGGAAGAGTAAGGCTGCTTATAACTATGAAAAACTTGATTAAAATACACTTACGACTGATTTACATGTATTCCATAAGTAGATAAATACTTTGTAACACTTACGCTGCATTGTAAACATGACTGGCTGCACTTACTTGACAAGGTATTGCAGTAAATTATATTTCGTATTTTGGGCAATTTTATAAATATTTAACCCTGTTGTTTCGAGTCATTCAAGTCATTGAATTGTTGACTATTTTGCAGCTTTACTTTTCCACAAAGCGATGAATCATTCCGTCTAAAGGAAACAGCAAAGACCGATCACACTTCTCCTATTTTCCCCGGGACAACATTTCGTCACACACTCATACGTGATTGCGTTATTATGCGCGCGGCGTGACGTACGTGGTCACGTGTCGCAGGTGGAGGTGCGCGCACTCACCCGCGAGCCAGGCTTCTGCGCGCAGACTTGAGGCAGGTAGCACACGAACACTGTCGCCAGAAAGCGCGAGAAGGCGAAAAGCAGCAGACTTGACAATAACATAGCTGATGGTCGGTGGGCGGCAGGTGGTCTGTGTGTGTGTCCGTCTGTCACACTGATGCCAACGGGTCCAAAAAAAAGAAAAATACCGCCTCACTCGCTGCAGTCTATCTTCCTTCTTATGCCTCTTCTGTCTACTTCTCCGGTGACTAATCACAAAGTGGCGCGCGTGGGCGGAGAAGTCATCACTCGTCGGTGACCGTGGCGGTTTTATTTTTTATTTTTTAGTCATCCACTGCGGGAGGATCGGCTGTTATTCACCGGCGGCTTCCACAGGTTGAGTCGCTCTCGCCTCCAATTGCGGCTTCATTTAAAACGCGGAGGAGGGCGAAGCAGCGCCGAGTGACACCCGCGACCGCCCAATGGCAGCGAGGGAGGGCGTCGAGAGGCCCCGCCCACCTTTAGAACCGGTCCAAGATGAGCTCTCCATGGAGGAGGAAAGGCTGCTGTGGTCAGTCAGGAGAAGCAGCAGCTGCAGGGACAACCACGGCATTGCCATCCGTCTTTGAGAGCAGGAACAATGGCCGAGTGACTGTGAAGTCCCATTTTAGGTTCTCGTCCCCATTCAGAGACGTATAATGCTCTGTAACCGCCAAGTGTCCTGCTGCCGTGACATTTAGCCTGCGTACTTGGGCCACAATAGAAAACATCTATTGAGTAAAGTCAATAGCTGTCACAAGCACCGCAGGGCAGCATATGTGTGTGTGTGTGTGTGTGTGTGTGTGTGTGTGTGTGTGTGTGTGTGTGTGTGTGTGTGTGTGCGCGTGTTGGAGCTGGCTCTTAATCCTTAACTAGTGATGTAACAAGATTTAAAGAGTGAACATTGTTTGGAAGATGGGCCGATTAAAAAAAAGCAGCAGGGATGTCCAACAGGTAATATAACCATAAATGATTAAATGTTTTCAGTCTCTGCCACGAATACCTGTTACAAGGCGAGTAAAACGTTTCTGTGAAACTCTCTGAGAGTTGTCCTCCTATAATCCATACTAACATCCGAGATCATATTGAGTGAGGGAGTTTTATTTGACTGCATTATTTTGAAAAAACATCAGCAACCCTTCTGAATATATAATGCATTCCAGTTTAAACAGAAACCACCTTAACATAAAAACCTGTATTGTAATTGAGACCTCTGAAAAAGTGTGAAGGAAAAGTGAACATTAATCAGAAAGTACAGAAAGACTTTACCTTTTTTTTTTTACCACTAACTAAATTTAGTTTCCGGTTGGATTTCAGATTAAGAATTTACACATCATTCATTTGACGATTATTTGAAATGTACACATATACTATTTTCACAACAGTTTATATGTAATTAAACAATAATCAGTGGCAGTGTCATTATCCAGCGCTAAGCTGCAATATATCAAAGACACTGATAAACAAAAGATTTCTGCATTATGGCTTCTGTAACTTTTGTTACTTAAAATCCATTTTCTTAATAATACTTTCCCCTTTTACTGAAGTGACATTTTGTCATCATTTTACATGCATTTTTATTTTAAATGCCGAAAGCGTCTGAATAATTCACTAACACTAATCATATTACATTGCTGTCCCACTAAATGGGTCTACACTGTCTCGCTCCCACGTCTTCTTTCTCTCTTTCTCCATCTCTGCTCTTTCAGATGAATTGTCGGGGCCATTGAGAGCGACTGGGGAAAAAAAAGCACGGGAGGCCGGCGCGGGTGAGCGAGGGAAGCAGAGTGCTGAGTGCAGGTGTCCAGCTTTAGTTCAATCCATAGAAGCCGGTCTTTTAAGAGCTGAAAAGGGCCGACCGGTCGCCCTTTGCTGGGAGGGGTAACCCCCGCCCCTCAAATCCCCTTCCCTCAGTCTTTGTCCCTATAGATATTTTTTAATTGTTGTCGATGACAGTTCAGCGGCTTTTTGAGTGCCTCGCTGAAGAACCTTGTAATTAGAGCTATTGAGCTGCTGGAATTGGCACAATTAGGGTCAGCATTCAGCGTTTCTGTGCGAGCAAGGGGCTTTTTTTTCTCAGAGCAGACGGAGGGAGAGAGTGAAGAGGGTCGTGCCAAATGCGTGGAGAGGAAAAAAGGAAACATGCACATAAAGGGGAGGAGAGTGGAGGCCTGAAAACGACCTGGAGACAGTGAATCGTCCAGATTCTTCTCTATCGGACCACCGCAGAGACCCAGCGTAGTATCGTTATCAGAGCCGGAGGGGATGAATACGTCCCACTCGGGGGCTGTTTCTCACCCCGGGGGGGGGGGGGGCATCGTCTCCCCCTCGCTCGCTCTCTGCTCTGTTGCCAGCCGGTCCACTCATGATCTGGTGTGAGTGGAGAAATGCTGTGGGAGGTGAGAATGAGGAGTAGAAGTGGGGGGCGGAGGCGGGGGGGGGGGCACAAGGAGTGTCTCTTGGAATGTTAACGAGATCAGTTTTTATTTGCTCTTCCCTCCCCGCTTCAGCCCCCCCCCCTCCCGACCCACCCGCCCAAACAAAGAAGACAACGGTTTGTGGGGTGTCAAGCTGTTGTAATTTGGCCGAGCATGAAAGAAGACCTCTGACAACAAAAACAAAGAAGGAGTGAGTGGGCAGGCTGAAAAGAAATGTATTTCCCAATTACTGCAGCGTGCCCCCCCCCCCGCCGGATTACACCAACTACATTTGGCCAAAAATTAGCAGGTGTCTGTAGACACAGAAACAGACGGAGCAGGGCGGAGGCCACACAGAGATCTGAGGGCCAGGGGGTGTCGGGGGGTGTTTGGGGGTGTCGGGGGGGGGGGGCACAGATGTTCAGCCCATGCACGAAAGGTTTGACACATGCACTCGCAGAGGTCAGACGTGGTATGCTGAATGTTCTGTATAGAATGTATAACTATTTAGTTGTTGCATTATATTTTACAGTTATTAACAGTTTTATATTATTAACCAAAAACCAGTTAATGTTTTCTGCTGTTTAGGAAAATATTGTACTTTTTTACTTCGTTACATTTGTCTGTTTTGATAAGTAACACCACAAAATGTCTGACATATACTATATACTATATACTATAACAAACAATTTAGTATACAACTTTGAAGTAAACCAAGATGGAAAGTAGCAAAATACCTTCACTGAAGTGCTGAACAATTCTTGAATATTTGCAATTCTGTTTTAATTTTGACTGCACAACCCTAATTTGACATCTGTAATATTCACTTGAATAATTTATATTGTGACATTGTCAACCAATTTTTATTTTATCTCTTCAAAAATAACTACTTTACCTTTTCTACGATACAACAATATACTATTTTGAAAAGCGAAAGTTTGCAAAGAACAATTTTTTTACTTTAAGTATGTCATTCGTACAAATATAATACTTCTGTGGTTTTACTTCTGTCCTTTTGCTTCTTCAACCGAAGTCATGAGTATTAAAGTATTTGTATTTTGTTTTCTACATTTAGTTTATCTGAGGCCTTCAGCCACTTTATGAAATACAGTTTTTACTTTCAAAACATGTGACGAGTTTGTTAAATCTGTTATAAATTTAACTATATATCCACTATCAGCATCAACATTAATAGAACTCAATTGAGGCTTCAATAATTCAAGAATACAAAATGAATAGTAACACTCTGAATTGAGTCATTTTGCATTAAGAGTACTTTGAATTTTCTTTGATGACACTTTTACCAGAGTGAATGATTATTTCTTGTTACCAAAGCACTGATTCAATACCTCTCACAGTCCCTGTTAACAGTGAGTATGACGGCTGGTAAAGTTAATGTTGTCAAATGTTGTCAAAACGGGCAGATAGAAATCCCACTCATGTTAAAGTATTTCACTTCATAAATCCCACATCTTTTACATGCTCTGCCGCAATTTTCTCCTTATCTGCCAAAACCCGAGGAGCTGCAGAAAGCCCTCGTCTGGCCAACAGAGCTAGACTGCAGCAACCTGGCCTCTTATTACCCTCTTCAAAACACACACTCAAACTCACACACTGCGGCGCTGATGTAGCAGCATGCCCAGTGACGGAAACGTACAGCAACAAATAAATAAGCCCACGGAGCCAAATTATCTCTGACATTAATCAGAGATGCGAGGGATTTTTACGTAGTGTGAGAATGAAAGAGAAAAGGGCAACAGAGTGCAAAGGGTGTGAAAAGGGCTTTTGAGTCTGGACTTGGGTGTCTCGCACCTGCACTGTCTATTCACCCCACTGTTTACACACTGTCATCCACAATTACTGCCTCATGGGGACGGAGCTGTCTGCCCCCTACAGGGCCCCCGGGCCCGTCCGCGGTCCTTATGGACGCCCAATTGAGCGTACCGCTCTTCTGATTGAATTAACAGCTCCGTCTCAGGGACCTTTTCCCCCTCACAGCGAGGTGGGGGACTATTCCACACCCGCCCCGGGACCCCTCTACCCACAGGAGGCAGAGTGGGGGCAGGGGCGGGAGGAAGGGGGGTGCTAGGTGGCTGGAGAAAAGCGAAGGGTCAAAAGGGGCAGTTGTTGAAGCTGTCCAGAAAACGCGTCCTTTTCTGTTTGGAAACCGAGGCTGGAAATGTGAACTGGGGGCAACCGGAGGTCTCAGTCTTCACAGGACCAGCGAGTTCCTGCAGGGCAGCGTAGAAATGATTACAGTTAGAGCCCTGCTGTCCCAAATATTACAGTAAAAAAAGATCAGGTCCACGGCATTCTGGAAGGAGTTTTTCTAGTTTTGTATTTGTACCACATAAAAGATAGAACATCTTGATTTGTGTTACCTCTGATCTTTATATCAATGCTCAGGCAGGACAGTTGAAAAGGCATAACTAAAAAGTGGTAAATAAAAATACAAATGCTGTCTTTGCTAATGCCAATAAATGAAGAATTACAATTTGAAGAAATTCTTTTCTTGGTCTGATGGGAAACAATGTCAGAAAACCTTAATTTACATTATAGTTCAGCCCAGCAGTTTGCTGCAACCACTTTTAGAGATTGTTGCAGCAAGGATATATAAAAATAATAGATGGAGGGTTGAAGAAAAAATAGAAAAACAGAAGAAGAAACCTACATACCAACATATTAGAAGAGAGTGACCAATATCTGAGAATATGTTTTATTACATATTATCCGTGTAAGGAGACAAACCTCAGGAACATTTAGCTGTAGACAGTGAGGTGGAGTCTTACACATTGTCACTAAACTAAAGAATAGCGCCATCCTTTCTTTAAAAGTGTCTCCCGGGGCAGACGCCCCCACAGCGTCCTCTTGGCGCGATCCAATTTACAGGTTTGTAAAATAGTTTGCAGTGTCTTTATCTGCAGTGCATGTAGAGCTGAAAATCAGGTCTGCCTCCCT